CATATCTTCAGTATTGCGCGTGCCATCTCAGCTGTGTCATGTCCAATTGTAAGTAGGTGTCACTGCGCTGGCGGCTATGGGTACGAGTTGATTGGGTTAGGGTTGATTGGGCCGGTCTGTATGATATATAGAGAAGTCTGGACGTAGCGTAGAAGAGTTGCCGTTTGAATATATTCATTTCGATCTAATTCGTTCTGGCTGCCAATATCGGGAGGAATACTAGGTGCCAAGCCGGGCACCAAGAATGGATATGAATAATAAGCTACAAAGTCGTATATCCTATTTGATCCCATGTTACACAGGGTACGGAATGTCTAAGTAATATGTGGGGAACATGGTCGGAATTTGAGCGGAAGGCAGTTAATACCACGACATCCTCTAAACCTGCGGAATGTGGTGGGAACAAGCTGGGAATGTGGCGGTAATGTGCTCATCCTCTCCGTGTTCCCCAACCTCCGTAATCTGGCGCTTCACGCGGTGCATCCTCCCCGGTCTGGCTGCGTCGCAGATGCAGCGCCACGAGCTATCCAGACCTACGAGGCCATAACCGTTCGGCGACACCTTCTGGAAATCGTTCGCTAGTGAGCCCTTTGGACGGCTTCTGGCCAGTTTCAGAGGAGCGGACACATTCAATACCAAAGGAACGGCCACGTACGGGCTACGTAACGAAGCCTCGGCCCTGAGGATGTCTCGCGGCAACTGCGATCCTCAGCATCGTGGGTCGACAGAGTGATTGTATCGGTTCGACGTGCATGGATCATCCTCTGGCTTCTCAGCATTCCTGGCAGTCAGTAGCATCGGGTACATTGCACCGCGAGTCTCCTTGCACTCGAGTCACAATGTTCGAACTCGAGAAATCCTTACGTCCCTCTCAAGCTTGTAAGGAACGCGATGGACCTACTTCCCCAGCGAGCGACCATTGGAGACCCGCCTGAGAACGCTGCGCCGCATTGTTTGAGGATCGTGCGCAGGCGAATAGAGAAAGTCCCATCTGCTTGCGCGTTCCTGGCACGATTCGTCGCGCCCTCTTCATTCTTCTCATCATTGATTCCCGTCTATTCCGCTTGCAAAGTTCCTCCCCACCACATTGCACGTCGCAAGGCTCGTCAACGAGCTCACGTTCACGCTCACCCCTGCCCCTAGAGGAGTGATGCCTCGCCCATCAACTAGCGCACGACACCCTGCACTGCGACGGCCTCCGCCTCACCTCCCGCTTTTCGGACCACCCTGACAGCCTCGGTGACTACAAGATGCACCGCCTTGTCTAGGACAAGTGCTGCATGCGCGCCGCCGACCAGTACATCCACGTCCTCCGTGCTGACAGTCCTAGCCCTTTTCAACGCGACTCCTAGGCGACATGTCCGAGCACGCTGTCGAGGGGCGTGGCGACACCGAGCTCGAGTCGACGCCGACGCCACACCCTCGATTGCATCAGCGCCCGAGCCGTCGGCCCAGCTCCGCACGCTCCTGCCCCGTATTCCGATACCAGCTATCTCTTCTCCGGCACGCAGGCCACAGTCTAGTGTACCTGCACCTTCAGCTGTCCATCGACGGGTTGTCCGACGCTCTTTCCGCTCTTCAACAGCCAAGTATGCGCGCCGTTCGCCTTGCGAGCGCAGAGGCTCGCTGGGACCATCTTGGACTCACGCAGTGCTCGAACCTCTTCATTCTCAGCATGGGAGTGATGCCCCCCGGACCGAACGCGGACGTACTAGTACACCGAAGGTCCGGGACACAACTCCTTCCGCCACCCCCTACAACCCCTGCACCGCTGCTTCCCGCCGTCCGACGCTCCACAAACTGCCGATTGGCTGTGCTGTGAGGACTCGTCAACGGACGGCGTGAGCGGCGCGCCTTATGTACGCGTCCCCCACTCTCAAGGTACTATATGCGCGCCCCCGTGCTCGAGGCTGCCGGCTTCTAGCTCGCGTTCGAGGAGAACGTGCACGGGGCGCATGGCGTTGGCGAGTCACTGCTGCCGGATCCGATCTTGCTTGGAGAGGCGTGATGAGGATAGAGTGCGTGGCGAACGCCCTCGAGCGGATCCGAGTCTCCAAGTCTCCCCGAATGTGGCGCTTATCGCAGGGATTCCGGTGAGGCGATCCAGAGGCTCGCTCGAAATCCACTGGAAGAGGTGGAGGGGCGTAGCTGGTCCCTTCGCGACGATCGCGCGCGCGTCCAGGGCTCCGCCGTCGCTGGAGCACGATGAATGATGTGAGGTTGCACAAAGCTAGATGTCGTCTAACAAATATGAATAACAGCCTTCTGTGGGTTCGCTGACATATTGTGAGCCTACATGGTGCGATCGAACAAGATTTGGATGTACAAGGCACGACACTAGGCAGTTGAAAAGATGTGACTGACATGCGGAGAACATACACGGTCCGTGTCATACCAGAAGGGAACACGCCTCTAGTAGTGCAGAATGACAGACCAACTGAACGAAGGGGTTGTGGTGGAACAGTGACTCTTCAGCAAGCGCGTGTTAGCACGGCCAGAAGGATGCCGGGGTTTCAGAGGATGGCAAGATGGAGGTGTCAGGTGGTGCGATTTCGGAGGCTGCGAGTGTGACTGAGTGCTGCAGCGAGGCCTGCTCAGAGTCGGCCTTCGACACCAATTATGGCCTTGAGAGTTCCCTACCGGCAGCAGGGGTCGGGCGACATCTGCGATCATGGGCGGAGGCGAGGCTGGCAGGCTTCCTACACGACGGCGAGACGGACTCGGACGGAGAATCTATCATCGCTACGTTTGACCTTCTTCGCTGCGCCGATTGATTCTCCGACATTCACGGAGGTACCCTACTGCATCGAGAAGTGATGCGTCGTGAAGAGCACAGATTTGATCATGGTCGGTGGTACAGGCTCCGCTCTCGTGTGTTGCCATTCTTCCAGGTGTGTTCGGCTGCCCCCTGGTGTACCCTACCGCCACCTTCACAAGCAAAGTCAACGTGCACGGTCACGATCCTCACTACTCAGAAAAGCAGCCGCGACGGTAGTGTCGACTTCCTCTTCCTCGGGCTTCGTGGGGACTCAGAGACACTTCCTGAAGTGTTCATTTCGAACGATCATTGAGACGGTCAAATGGGAAGATTCGGTAGGCATTGCTGTAGAACGGCCACTAGAACATGACATTATTTACATTCCATAGGAACTCGTCGTTCTGTTCACATGTCTTCGTCGAGCTACTCTTGCTCGGAGGCGACTAGCTCCGCGCGCCCAGGGCGCGGTGTGATCCTGCACTTGAACGGCTCGGGATATCTATGGGTCTCAATCAGTCATGAAGCCGACGGCGATAGAATCGGTGTCAGGGGACTTACGAGGTGACCATATCCGTTGAGTAGCGGGCTTCCGGTTCAATCGGGTTCCCTGTATCATCGAGTGGAGGCTGGATGTCGAGCGTGTGCAACACGACTGCGACGATGATGAATAATGCTTGATCTGCGAAGTGCCGACCAGGGCAGATCCTGGTTCGAAATCGACCATAGCTTATAAGCCAATGCAGAACAAAAACTCGAAAGCATGTTCACCGTCTCCCGAATCCGAACGCGAACTTCATAGGGTCCCGAACGCGTGGATCGAGGAACCGCTCTGGGACGAATTCTTCGGGGTCTGAGTACATGTTAGGGTCGCGCGACATTGCCCTAATTCCGTTGTTCAGCGAACAATTCTAATGTTCAGGTAGCTTCGCTGGTGACCGTACCATAAATTGGGAATCAGGGTGGAACCCTTGGGTATGAGATAGCCATTGAGCTCTTCATCTTCTGATGTCTTGTGAGGGAACCCGATAGGGGTGACAATGAGCCATCTGAAACACTCCTTCACTATCGCGTTGACATAAGGAAGAGCAAGGCGATCGGAAAGGTCAGGGAGTCTGCGAGATCCGACGACGGCATCGAGCTCAGCCTGTGCCTTGCGCCGAATATGGGGGTATTTAGCCATTGCGAGGAAAAAGGCTTGTACGGATGAGAACGTCTGTCAAATGTCCGAGTATGAGACAATTGCGAGAGGTCATGAAGCGCCAGTTCAACGGCTCACAGTGTCTGCTCCGGCTATGTCCACCCTCCGTATTATCAGCTAGCCAAATAGCTGGCTAAGATTGCTAGAACGTACTCAGGTATGCGAGTGCACTGATATTCTGGCAAAGCTCCTCAACCTCAGCGCTGCTGTTGCTGTCGTAAGACCCTTGGGCTTCTTCAAGGATCCGCATTACGATTGAAGGGGAAGCCTTGCCCGAATCCTAGGGTACCATGAGCAATAGGTGGCTGATGAGGCTGACCACGTACGATGTCGCGTTTGGCTGCCTGATATGGGACATCACGAAGGTCCTTGACACTCTCCTTCCACCTGGCAGCATCCCGCTTGAACTTTGCTCCTGGCAACCACGAGGGAATATATCGAAGGAACGGGAACGCCTCGACAAGATAACGCCCGGGAACTGCGATATCAGTGAAGATCTCCACACACTTCTCTGCTATGGCAATATACTTGTCATCCTGCTCAGCGACTTTGAGGCCATACACGACCTGCATGATGGAGGCCCCAAAGTAGCTCATAGCACAATTATAAGTGCGATGAATGTAACAGTACAGAGTGACCCTTACTGGCGGATATGCGAGATGAAATGGTCAGGATCTTGGATCAGTCTTTGAACAAGTCTCTGAGCATGCTCGCGCTGGGCAGGATGATAGTCGGCTACCACGCCTTTGTGAAACAGCTGGTGGAACTGCCTCCTGTGCCGTCGCCACTCCGGAGTGTGTTCGAATAACGTGAATTCCCAGTCAGAGAACCCAACCCTGAGAACATACCATGCTATGTCAGACTTCAAGGCTCGGTTGTTGATCATACTCACAGATCTGCCATCACTAAACCCTGCCTGTCTGACGTAGAAGTGGAGCGATTATCTAGGAGCGCGCTCGCGGCCTCATATGAGCCGAGCAGGATGATACGTTGGCCAAGGGCAGAAAGGTAGACAACGTCCCCTACAGCATAACGTGTGAGAGATTGTTAAGCCCTCTGTATAATCAGCATACCATATTTAACACTTATGCTGCGCAACTTAGAGCCGAGTTGCGCAGTGGGAATGTCGAGAAGATTTCCAACCAATGGTAGCGGTGTTGGCCCGGGAGGCAAGCGGGCAATCCTTGCAGAATTTTTCCTGCGGATATAGATGTGTAGGAAAACCCCTATACCGATGAGAAGGAGAATGATACATCCGTCAGTCATGGCGGTAAGCATGTGGGTACCGTCCGTCTAGATATGTCAACGACGAGACATATATAGACCGCCTCATGTCCAAGCGGCGTATAGACGGTCTTACCGGGCGCTTTGTAAATGAAATTCGCATAGAGTCCGAAGGCCGATATGGACATGTCAGAGCACCTGTGTGGGAGTGGGAATGGTGCCGGGAGCGGAGAGCAATACAACCTACCCGGGAAAGCCGTTCGTCTTGACATTGATGGAGACTTCTTTCACGCCACTTGCGCCAACGCAGCATAAGAAGCGATACTAGCACGTACATCAGCTAGTCCATGATCAGCTCGCGCGGCAGAGACGTGCGCGAGAAGCAGACACATATATATCCGACTGATACCCTGCGGGACGCATAGGAACCCGGTACTATCGGTGGCCTGAGTCTTCGAACGAGAGTCAGGGTGAGCGGAGTCCATGCGATATAGCTTCTGACCCCTGGACTGCCGAGAGTATCCAGAACGAAAAGACGCCACTGGTCGTCGGCTTCCACGCACATCATATACAACCCTGAACATTGATGTCTAGTCGCTGAGCCGAATTAGCAAGCAGCCTGCTCCAGTGCGGGCAAACGATCAGTAGAGACATGCAATGAACGAGCGAAATTCTTACCAAGCCACTCTGTAATCACGCAGAGTAGACACCTCCCTTCTTCCCGGGCCATGCTAGAGTGTGCGATGTCTTCTATGGTCGGGATGAGTTCGATCATCTGTTCTGGGCATACGCAGACAAGCGGAAATAAATGAGCGCGCAGGGTGAGGTCGGGAGCCTCATTGCAGACTTCTCTCTGATAACTTGATGTTGTAGAGGAGGCGCTTACAGTGCAGTTGTGGGGCTTTACACATTGGCATGAAGCGAGCAGTAGGCCTAGGCCAGGTTAACGCGCGCTACACACAGCCGACTTAAACCGTCACATATAGTATAGAACAGGTTCAACAGAACTGGCAGAGACGACGAACACATGCCTTTGATTAGTGAGTATATGTCAACAGGTTACGGTATGAAAGTGACGTACGAGCTGATGGATTGAAAGGGCATCGATTTGAGATGATGTTTGCAATAGTTTGGACGATTGCAAGACTGCCACGATGGTTACGTCTTATTACAGCAGCAGATAGTCGACCCTGTAACGGCGGTACAGAGAGAAGACACTCGCAAGACGAGCCGATGCGCCACCTGAAAAGCACTGTGCTTGTGAGTCGGAGGCAGGTCAGCCGGATAAGAGCTCGATCATCGTGGACGATAGATAACCAGGGAAGCGACGTTAGACGCCTGCCACCGTGATGCTGGGCGCTCCGGATGCTTGGTTAATGGCGAGGTGAATGACTTCCTGAGCTTTCCGATCGCATCTACAATTGACGCTATAGAAGATATACTGTACATCGCTTCTAACGGAACTAAGTGGTATCAAAAGTACACATACAAAGGCACAATGAATAGTCGGATACCAGATTGTGAGAAATTGCGAGATGTGCGGTACTGATAAACTGCGAGCCGTATGCAAGTATCCCGGAACATGATGATGCCAGAAATAATGTAACATGTGGAGCGGGAGATAATGGATGCATGCGAGAGAGGATGGAAGAGTCGCGCGGAAGGACGGACATAGCAAGACGATCCGTCCTATGCTCCACCGTGACAACGCCGAATCGCCCCTTCAGAGCTACAAGCAGACGTGGTTCTCAGGATTGTCCAAAGTGGAGGTCGACATCCACTGCGACGGGCCAGTAGAGAAGGCGTCTTCGAGAAACGAGGGAAGCTCTCCCGACGCAGATGAATCCGCGAACACTGACTCGTCCCACAGCCATGTATTTGGGATGTGGCCGTTGTGGACCGGGAAGGGACCCGAGCCCGCGTTTAGCATGTTCGTCTGCTCGAACGCGGTCGTTCTGGAAGGCACAGGGAGGGTGGGGGCAGTCGGGGCCGCCGTTCCGTTGGACGCCGCCCCGGCGACGTGGCAACCCAAGGCTGGGGACTGGGAGTCGACCGTCCAGTAGTGGTCTGCAGCTGCCCCCACCTGAGTCGGGATCTGGAGGGCCTCAGAAGCGCGGAAGGCGAATTGTGCGCAGAGGGCTTCGTATAACGCTATGAAGCCAGGATCCTTGAGGTAGTCGTTGATGCGTGCCTCCTCTCGGTGTTGCCCGCTAGAGGAACCCGTGTGCCACCCAGCAACTTTGACGGGCTGAGGGTGAGAGGACCATCCGACAGCTCCAGGTTGTAGGGCAGTGGTATCGTTCTCCTCCTGCCCTTGCTTGATCATCGCCGTCTTGGACACCTTCATCCTCGAGGAGCGGCGGTCAGAAGGAGGCGGCACGATGTAAGGCGCAGATGATCGTCCGGCGATAGACAGAGAGGTGGAGGCGCGTGATACGCCCTTGGAGTCTGGGAACCGCTTCCCGAATGGCGTCGGACGTGCGTACC